CTGAGTTGTAAGGTGTAAGTGAAAATACCTTCTGACCCAACAAAAGCCAGCCATCATCGACGTTAGTCTGCTTGCAGGAACCCCACGCATCTGCAGAGGACGAGGCTCCAGAGGAAAATGCACATAACAACAGCATCCAAAGGACACCTCCACCTGGTATTTCTGACAGGTATTCCACCTGGCATCCAGCCCATGAGTGTGAAGCCAGTGTGCTAACTTCCAGGGGGGGGGTCAAGTAGGGAAGGGGGGACAGAGCTATAGTCTGATCATGACACCCGAAACAAGTTATTTTTCTGTTTGACTGTATGTGAGAAACTAGAAGACTGCTGTTCAAAACAGCCTCTGTTTGTTTCTATCGTTCTTAGTGTCAGCTGATTGTCAATGTAGCAAGGCAAATAAGTGTCCTCACAGACCTCAAGCATCAGAAAAGTCAGGATGGCTGCAGGGGACATGGGAAGAGACAGGGAGAACCAGGGACAAGGCAGAGCATGAGGGTCTGGAATGAGCATGAGGGTAGGACCCTGTTCCCGAGTCTGCAGAGATCTCCCCAGTGCCTCTTTGCACTCAAATAAGATCGATTTTCCTGGGTATATAAAGTGATTCCTACAGAAAGGATGAGTGGAGCCTTTCAGAATTGAAAAATCACAAATATAAGTAAACATTGTAGGTGTTTGTGTGTCCAAAGTGTACCTTAAAAACAATTCAACATCAAAAGAAAAAAAAAGATTGTTTTTTAAGATGGAGGAAATGTACAGAGGATGGAATCGAAGAAAATGAGGAAGTTGGGATATCTAATACAACGTCATTGGTATTAGAAAAGCACCTTTGCATGCATTCAAAATGAGTCAATGATTGCCAAAGATTACAGATTCTTAACTGTCCCCATAAAACGAAAAAGGAAACACAGGTTACTGTTCTAACCTGTCTTTTCTCATAAGTTGTCAGGTTCAGGAAGTGTGGACTAAGCTGATTGAGAATTCTGAAGTTGATTTATTTGAAAGACAACTGAATTGATGAGGCAGCGTTTGCAGGAGGAGGACTATATACCCAGGATCTTCCGTCCACCACATCAAGGCTCACAGCTCCCATCCAGCTCGGCTTCTTCAGGAACACAGGTGAGTGCTTCCAGCCACTCCGGCTTAGCAGGAATTACTATCCAGGATCAAACAGTGACGTGGTTTCTATCATGCATGTACTTTGTCTTTTTATATTGTACTTGTTCTGCCAGGGGGGGAAAATTAATGTACCCCTTGATCTAATTTGGTCTTTACCTAAAAAGATATATTTCGAAGAAAACTGATGCATGCTTACAATCATGGTGGGGGGGTCAGCCTCAGAGCTTCAAAGAAAAGTCAGAGAGTTTCTTCTGGAGACCTGGCTGCATGTTGCCCCAGAAAACCTTGTCCTGGCATTTGTAATAAAGCCTTTCCCCCTAAACCTAGCCATCCAATGATAATGATAAGTGAAACCTAGCCATTCAATGACAGGAAAGATAAAGATGTTCTATTACTTGTCCACAAAAGTCTTTTTCAATAGTGCTTTCATGAGTCTTGTAATTAGAAGATGAACACGTGTGCATTCAGAAGGCTTGGAAGGTAAAAAGGGTAAAAACCTTAATGGCCAGAATCCCACAACCAAGATAAGTCATGTTTAAGAAAATTTCATGACAATAAAGTCCTTCTGAGCTGGATCCACTGCTTTCCTAGGAGTTCCCGACCAACCAGTCACCATGAGTTCACTCAGTGTGGCCAACACCAAGTTCACCCTTGACCTGTTCCGGAAGCTGAGGAAGGACGGGGACAACGTCTTCTACTCCCCGGTCAGCATCCTGTCAGCACTGGCCATGCTCGACCTAGGGGCCAGGGGGAACACTGCCCTGCAGATGGAGAAGGTAGGTCTCAGCTGCCCCGCAGGACCTGCCCAGCTTTCCTCTTCACTGGGCTGGCTCACACACAGGGACTGTCACAGCTCTGGGGACCTGGGGGTAACACAAGATGCCAAGCAGACTTTCCAGGGCTGTGTGATCACAGAGTGTTGGGGAGTCACCCCCTCCCCAAGGCTGCCCTCTCTTGATGACCCCCACCACTGCCCATCAACCAGAGCTGAGAAGACGAAGTGAAGGGCTGACTAAACCAAACCCAAGGGACCCAACACCAAAGGTCTCCCCAATGAACAAGGAAGGCACATTCTTCAACGTATCTGTAGATAAACCAGCTTTTCTGCGTTTTTTCAAAAAACACATTCATACCCTGAAGTTCTGGGGTTGGGTGCTTTTAGCGTCTTTATGCTTCTTTGTTCTCTCTTTTTTATTTTTTTTTTGAAAGTTTTGTTCTTTTTTTCTCTACTGAATTCACAGATCTTTTAAATGAAGTTGTCTTGATCCAGGTCCTGTCTCTTCCAGGTCCTTCATTTCAATGAAATCACAGAAAAAGCAACAAAGAAACCCACAGCCCCTCATGTAAGTATTCTGGTCCTGGGAGAGCTCCAGGTATCTGAAGTATCTGAGAGGGTCATACTTTAAACAGGGAATTTCACATAAACCGAGGAATGGAAAATCCTAGATGAAAGAGATTAGGACATATGGAAAAATTCCACATTTTATTTTCATAATTATTACTTTCAAGTTTTTGTTTTACTCAGAGAAGGTCAGCATTGAACTTAAGAACTCAAGTCCGACACCACATAGACCAGCTCCATTCTTCACAAATGTGAACATGAGCAATTCGCTACTGCCCTGAGTCAGAGTGACCTCTTCCCAGTCAACCAAAAAGAATCTGACCCAATATCTGCAAACGTTAGCAACAGGGCCCAGCCTACTATAAATAAGAGGTCATGATAAATGTGAGCTAGTGATCACACTCACAATAATGTTACTAACATAATATAACTGAGTTAAATTAAAATGAAAAGGAATTAGCACAAGTTCAACTATATTTTGGAAAATGATGGCTAGCAGATATATTTGTTTAGGGCTTTGACAGAACAAAACTCTTAGCTAGTAAATAGAAATTTCCAGATTCAGATAGGCTTCAGTTTAAAACTTGGCTACTCAGTCTGTCTCTTAGGCTATTTAATCACTGAGCTTTTTTATTTTCATCTCAGCTAGACTGAGATTCAGATGACCTATGGGCTGTTCTTAGCTGAGCACCAGGCTCGAGGTCTGCTTACATGCAGACAATGACCATCACATGACAGATCACCCTCAACAAGTCTTAGAGGATGATCCCACCAAGGGCTACAGCAGGGCTTCATGTCATAGCATTTAAAGTATCCAAACTTCAACATGACCATATGCTTGGTGGCTGTTAGAAGTGAAATAAGGTTTGCACCTTAAGGAACTCCGAGTTTATCTGAAAAGATAAACATAATTGTTTAAACGACTGAGAGGATACCCAATGGTGCCCTGTAGTTCAGAAGAGAACACATCAGAATATATCAGGGTTGGAGCAAAGAATTTCCTGGAAGAAGTTGAATGTAAGGTAAATTCTTCAGGGTATTTGAGGTAAATACAGCAAATATCAGAGAATAAGCCAGAGGTCATCTTTGAGATTATAGACATAAGTGTTGGTACTGATCTAAGTGACTTCAAGTGAGTTGAGCACACACGTGAACAGGGCAATTCAATGAGCATCTTTTTTGGATGTTGAAGGCTGGAGAGTCAGGAAATGTGCACCAGGAGATTCAAAAGTTTCTGACTGAATTAAACAAACCCAGTGAGGCCTACAACCTGAAGATCGCCAACAGAGTCTATGGAGAAAAGGAGTTTCAGTTTCTTCAGGTAATTCCCCTTGGCTCTCCACACCTGGAGTCTGCATCCTGGGTCTCTGGATGGCCAAATGGGGGAAAGCCAGACACAGGCTTCTGGCTGACTCCTGGGCAGCTCTGGCCCCAGGGGATCAGCTCTATCACAGCGCTGACTGCTGGAGCATCCAGTCCCTGACCAGGCCCAGATGAAGTGTGGGTCAGGGCCAAGATAAGTCAGGAGATGCCATTAATGAACAGGCACAGACTGCATCACAGAGAGCGCCTTTTGTGGGAAATGTCTGACTAATGGGGTATTTCTGGAACAGGCAGGCTGGGATGGGCCCTGGAGGGGGCAGGAAAGCACCAGGGAATATAAACCCAGATGAGAGACACAGTGCTAGAGCCCACTGGTGAGAAGTCTCCCACATGATTCATCTCCTTTAACTTGCACTGAAATTTGCAAACCACAGCCTCTTCTTCCCCTGGGTTTTGCCAGAGGGTGTTGAGCCTCAAGGAATCCTGCACTCTCCTTGCACACTTGCCCTCATGGTGCCTGTATACAAATATGCATGTGCAGAGACAGTGGTTCTGGCCAGGGTCTGGGTTCAGCTTACTTTAATTGTAAATAATTAAATGGGGTGACACATAAATCTTTCTTAATTCCTTCTTTTTTCCTCCACTTCTCAAAGGAATATTTGGACGGGATTAAGAAATTCTACCTAGCCACTGTGGAATCCCTTGATTTCAAAAATGCTCCAGAAGAAAGTCGAAAGAAGATTAATTCCTGGGTGGAAAGCCAAACAAATGGTAGAGTATGGGAGGGCTACTCATGGCGGAAACTTTTGATCGCCCTGTGAGGAAGCCCAGATGTGACATGGTAGGGAGTCCTGGTGGGATGTTATTGGATCTGCAGAGATGATGGAGGAGGCAGTGCAGATGGTCCCAGTAAATATGGACAGATCCAGGAGGAGCAGGGATAAAAGAGAAGGAGGTCAACTAGGTGGAGACATGGCTGCAAAGCTACTTGCACATGGCCCCCGGCTGACACTATCTTTGTGGAACCCACATTCCCACTCAGCCCCATTTTGAGATTTTCTTGAGGTCAGAGCCAAGTGTTGCTTATGAATCTTTAGAACAAAACAGTCCAAAGACTTCCTTCCTCTTACTCCTCTGGAAACAGGCAGCCCATCTGGAGACCAGGCTCCCTGCCCCTTGACCTATAATGGCCTGGAGCACACCTCCACCAACCCTCCTGCAGGGATTACCCCAGGGTCTCCTCCACCCAGGGCAGAGGCTTCTCAAAGCCTCCATTGTGTGCACAACTAGTTGGACCCCTTCCTACAGGCCGTCCTTGCAGCAGTTGTACAGGAGACTGAGGAGGAGAAGGAATCCCTGGGAGCAGCATCTGACAGCAGGGGACTCTCAGAGTACAGAGCTCAGGCCATTGTCCTCGAGGACATTCAGGCCCTGTTTCTCCACGTGAGGGACCCACCTTGGGAAAACAGAAGGGGAGGAGCAGAGGAAGGAAGCAAAGAGTCAAGCTGGACAAGCAGATAAAATCAGCTCCTCAATGTCCCCTAGACAGTCTCACCTCCTTTCCTGTCACAGGAAGAGGCTGGTGTCTCCAT